ATGAAGTTTTGCTTTTGTTGCCCAGGCTGGAGTACAATGGCACGATCTCGGCTTACTGCAACTTCCACCTCCTGGGTTCCAGCGATTCTCTTGCCTCAGCCTCCCGAGTAGCTGGGATTACAGGCATGTGCCACCATGCGCAGCTAATTTTGTATTTTTAGTAGAGATGGGGTTTCTCCACGTTGGTCAGGCTGGTCTCGAACTCCTGACCTCAGGCGATCTGCCCACCTTGGCCTCCCAAAATGCTGAGATTACAGGCGTGAGCTGTCATGCCTGGACTTCTCTCCTGTCTCTCTAAGCAAGCAACATGATGCCATAGAAAGGACAGTAAACTATTACTTAGATATTGTGGATTTAGAAACATAGTAACTGATGTGACTTCATGCTCATATATTACTCATGGTTAGTTTCCATAATCACTGGTTTCCTATTTGTAAAACAGAAATCTAAAATAACTTCCTTCTTTGACTCTGTGCTGCTTTAAGGAATTTATGAGATGAACTATAGGAAATAATAAAATCCAACTGCTGAGCATATAATATATGCTGCATAATCTTCTATATGCTTTATGTGTAGCTTTTTATTTGATCTCTATGATATGTGAGCTATTTTTTATTCACCGAGGTAAAGAGAAGTACTCTGAAAACTGTAAAGTACCAGAAATTACAAATAAATGTCCTGTAGGGAATCAATGTACAATGAAGAAAAAAAAAGCGTTTTCAACTAATTAACTTTCAGAAAACTTTTTGTTTTCTTATTTAAACTTTACTGATACTAACTTTCAATATTTGTACCTTGAACATTTCTATCACAGTTATTCTCTTTCTTCATCAATCTGTCCATTCATTCTGTAAATATTTGTGAGTTACCTATAATATGTCAGGTACTATCCTAAGGCTTTGGAAGAACAGTGGATGAAACAGACATGGCACCAGCTGTTTAGCATTATCGATTGTAATGAGGCTATAAAACAGTAGGTGATAAAGAAGTGTGGTCAGTAGCATCATGGGAATAGTGGTCCATAGAAGGATATTACAGACCTAGGGTGTCGAGGAACATTGTTTAGAAGAAGTCATATCTGAAGATTTGAAGGCTAAGAGGAGTTAGGCAAAATGGAAGTAGAGAAAATTCCAAAAGAATAGTACCTTCAGTATTTCTGCCCCTTGTTTACATTGATTTTCTTTTTCTCTCTGTATCTTTAAACTCTAGTAAATCCTTCTTTAATTTTTATTCCCAAAATATAATTTGATATTAAGTTCTTGTAAATTTTTCAAATATTTCATATTTCATAAGCTTTTCATAATCCATCTATGTGATCTTGAATTTCTTAATCCAATAACCAAGCAATATTTTATTAAGGGTACTTTATTCCCCTATTCAGGTAGAACATGGCCCTCTGTTATTAGCTAATCATAATATAAATAAAATTCAAAATAGGCAAGCAAATGTTTTCTATATAATTTCATTCTTGTGGTTTCCTTCCTTTGCCACTAGATGGTACTTGTATGCCTGAGAGACCAAAATGCTGATTCAGTTTACCTTCCTGGAAACTGTAAAACTAACCAATCAGAGGATCAGGTCATTGAGTAGAAGAAGCTTACCCAACCCAAAATGTAAGTGATCCTGGTTCTTAAATTTATCCCTAAAAATTAACCCAACATTATCTTTTCTCTTTAGATAAATATGACAGTAAGAAATTTTAAATTAAATTAGCTTTAGTCTCTTCCCATCTTGTACCAACCCCCAAACCCCATTTTTTTTTTACATTTTTTAATTTTTACTTTTTAATAATACTGCTTTTCTGACATCCTAACCTGGAAAATTGGATTACTTCTTCCTTATTGGAGGCCCTCCATCCTCCTAGCTCCTTGTGTAAGCTAATGCTTTTCTTTCTGCTTGGAAAAGCCACTACCTCCCTTCCGACCCCTTCCTCCTAGGTTTTATTTTCAGAAATCCTAGTCATTCTTGAAGGCTCATTTTATTTAGTATCACTACCATGAAGTTTTTCTTGTTATTATTACTTGAAAATACCTTCTTCTGATTCCTTTTTCACTCTTCTAACAATTTTAGTAATTTGTTTGATAATACATGGAATGTATTATTCTAAAGAGCTATATGTATCTCCATAGCAATTAGACTTCCTGCATTGTGATTATTTATGAAAATTTCTTAATCTCTGTACTATACAATGTTTGCCTCTTGAGAGAAGAGGCTATCTTAGTAATCTATATATTCTGAAATATTTAGTACATTATTATTTATTAAATTGAGTTTAATGCTATATCCATAAGACTATTGCAAAAAACTCTAAGAGTAAAAAAATGATATGGTGATTCTTAATGACAGTCTCATGTGTAAGTTGGATCAAATTCATTAGCAAGACCTGTGGAATCCAATCATCTTTTTCCCATTTTCCCTTTTTTCCCATGACGTAAGACTCCTGCCTTCCCCAAATATATAGAAATAATGGGTCGGGCACAGTGGCTCACACCTGTAATCCCAGCACTTTATCGAGACCATCCTGGCCAAAATGGTGAAACCCTGTCTCCACTAAAAATATAAAAAATTAGCTGGACATAGTGGCACATGCCTGTAGTCCCAGCTACTCAGGAGGCTGAGGCAGGAGGATCGCTTGAACCAGGGAGGTGGAAGTTGCAGTAAACCGAGATCATGCCACTGCACTCCAGCCTGGTGACAGAGCGAGACTCCGTCTCAAACAAAAAAGAGAAAAAAAAAAAGAAATAATGCATAGAGCATTATTTAAAATATAAGCACTTTAAAATATTTTTTTTTTTTTCTTAAGACAGGGTTTCACCATGTTGGTCAGGCTGGTCTTGAACTCCCGACCCTAGGTGATCCGCCCGTCTTGGCCTCCAAAGTGCTTGGATTACAGGCGTGAGCCACCACACCCGGCCAGCACTTTAAAATATAAAGCTGAGTTTAAAACAGAGACAGCAAAGGCTTCAGATACCAGAATTGAAGAAGAAATTCAAAGTCACAGTAATAAGGGCCAGGAGCTGAGGTTTTAACCCCATTTTGGACTAAAAGATGTGGTCCTAAAACTACTTTTGAGGATCTGGAACTAACATTCCTGCATAAACTAGAAGCCTAAAGAGATTTTCACTTTTTGAAGCTGTAGAAGCTTATCTCTTAACTCAGTAGTCTAGGATGAGCAGAGGTGATAGTAATATTGAAAGCCTGTGAATATTGAAAGGTTCCTGTGAATATTGAAAGCCTCTGCCAATAAAAATCCAATTTTACATTATTGTTTGAAAAGGTAATCCTGGCCAGGCGCGGTGGCTCACGCCTGTAATCCCAGCACTTTGGGAGGCCAAGGCAGGTGCATCACTTGAGGTCAGGAGTTCGAGATCAGCCTGGCCAACATGGTGAAACCCCATCTCAATTTCTTTAAAAAAAAAAAAAAGGAAAAAAGAAGATAAACCTAAGCTTAAAAACAGAGAAACAGCCAGGCCCTATAGAAGCAAATATAAAAATACTTGATGTGGACATCTACACAACTCAGGAAACAAAAGAATCCCACAGAATAAACAGCCTTCAGTAAAGGCGCACACTCAATAAAATTTGCACACCACACAAAGAAGCAATCTACCACAAGGCAGATGAGATGACACAACAAATAGAAAAACCTGTTCCCAAACAACTTGAGTTAATAAAACAACTTGACAACTGGGTGCAGTGACTCACACCTGTAATTCCAACACTTCATGGGGGCCAAGGCAGAAGGATCACTTGAGGCCTAGAGTTGAGACCAGCCTGGGCAACATAGTGAGACCCTGCCTCTACCAAAAAAAAATTTTTTTTAATTAAAAAAACAAAAACCTGGATGTGACTATCAAAGAGATATCCATAAAATGATTAGAAACATAAAGAAAAATAAAAATCAAATGAAAAAGCAAGATAAGGTAAAAAATAAAAATATTTGAGAAAAGATAGGAATTTGTTGATGTATTAATAATTTTGATACTTATTGAACACCTGCAGACTTCTAGTACTGTTCTGGGTACTAAAGATAATAGTGAATAAGATATATAAATTTTCTACTGTCGTAGAGTTTATTTCTATTGAAAATAAAAAGCTCACCAGATGGGTTAAATAGATGGACTAGATACAGTGAAAGAGATAATTTTTAAACTGGAAAATAAACCTGAGGAAATTATACAGAGAATTTTTAAATGGAGAGTATAAAAGTAAAGTTATATTCTTAAGAATGTAATAACAAGACTTAACACATATTTAATAAAAGTTCTTTTTGAGATACAGTTTCGCTCTTTCACCCAGGCTGGAATGCGGTGGCCTGATCTCAGCTCACTGCAATCTCCACCTTCCCTTTTCAAGTGATTCTTCTGCCTCAGTCTCCTGAGTAGCTAGGATTACAGCTACCCACCACCATGCCTGGCTAAAGAATTTTGTATTTTTAGTAGAGACAGGATTTTATCATGTTGGCTAGGCAGGTCTCGAACTCATGACCTCATGATCTGCCCGCCTCAACCTCCCAAAGTGCTGGGATTGTGGGCATGGGCCACCATGCCTGACTGGTAAGAAACAGACATCCTAAAAAGAAAGAAAATAAAGAAAATGGAGGGGAGGCATGATTCAAAGAGAAGGCAGCAGAGAATGTGTGAGATATAAAGATAGACGTGAACCAGAATGCAGTAAGTCCTTAGCAAGATACCTGTTTTAAAATAAATCAATGTCAGAACATTCTAGTTAAAGAGCACCAAAACAAGAAAAACAATTCCTAAGAGAAAAGCAAGAAAGAAAACATACCTGTAAACTGGGCATAGTACCTCATGCCTGTAATCCAATACTTTGGGAGGCTGAGGCAGGAGTATGACTTGAGCCCAGAATTTTAAGACCAGCCTGAGCAACATAGTGTCTCCAAAATTAATAATTAAAAAATTAGCTGGGTTTGGCGGCCCATGTCTGTCACCCCAGTTACTTAGGAGGCTGAATGGGAGGATCACTTGAGCCTGGGAAGTCAAAGCTACAGTGAGCTGTGATCATGTCACTGCACTCCAGCCTGAGTGAGTGTAAGACCCTGTCTCAAACAACAACAAAAACAACAGCCTACCTATGAGGAAACAAAAATAAAATTGGCAATAGAAATTCCACTGGTAAAAAGAAAGGTTAAAATAAAAAATTTTAAGGGCTGTGGGAAATTCTGTTCTCAACTAAACTGTTGAAGTAAGAATGAGAAAGTTGTCAGATAAAGACCAATAGAGTTTACCATTCACAGACTTAGGCTGCAGGAACTACTGACAGGTGTACTTCAATAAGAAGGAAATCAAATCCAAAAGGAAGAAGCAAGATGTAGGAAGAAATATTGAACAAGGAAACTAAATAAAATTCTGGAGAAACTAAGTATTCACATATAAATAATGGATTATAACCAAGAAAATTAAGATGCTATAACATGAAAGAAGAGGAAGTCAGGTTTGAACTTATTCTGTTTGTAAATTCCATTTTTTGAGAGGAGGCTATAGTTATTATTAATTTTGGAAATTATAAAATGAGGTATGCATGTTAAAAATTTCCTGTTTACATGATTACAGAGTAATCACCTGTCATGTGTATTTGCTATACTATTTAAGAATATTCAATTCAGGGACTAGAAAATGTAAAAAAGAAAGAATTAAGAGATACATAGATATGTTAGATATAAGGTAAGTAGAGTATGTGTGTACTGAGTGCATAAACAAGAAGGTATGGAAGGAATGAGTAAGCACCAAATATTCATGAAACACCCAAGGCACCAATATTCATGAGGACCCATGAGGGAAAGAAGGAAGGAAGGAAGGAAAGAGGGAAGTAAGGAAGGAAGGAGGGAGGGAGGGAAGGAAGAAAAGAAAAAAGGGGAAGGGGGAAGAAAAAAAATCACTCAAATGGAAGGCAAGAAAGGCCTAAAAAATTAAGAAATGGCATCTTAAAATCAAACTTGGTTACCTTTTCTTTTATTTCAAAGATACACAACTCATTTTTAATTCACCTACCTCAGCACATAATTTCTTACTGGTTGTATGAATACGTGATTAAGAAGAATTCTAAAGCGAAGTACCATTTTAATAAAGAAGAGTGCCTTCATCTATTAACAATATCTATCCAAAGGCACTGGAAATGAGCTGAAATAATGTGAGGAGTACATATGTGTCTTTCTTAATCCAGGTTTTCTAAGCTTAAAAAATCACCAATTACCAAAGCTCTCAAAAAGTCAATTATATATTCTTTTAGTTTTTTAAAATTTGATGCTTTTATGCCTAATCTTTTTATATGTTTGAGAGAAGTTACTTCAAATACTACTAATTCAAATAAGAATATTTATAATATGGCCAGGTGCGGTGGCTCATGCCTGTAATCCCAGCACTTTGGGAGGCCTAGGTGGGTGGATCACGAGGTCAAGAGATTGAGACCACCCTGGTCAACAAGGTGAAACCCATCTCTACTAAAATACAAAAATCAGCTGGGCATGGTGGTGCACGTCTGTAGTCCCAGCTACTTGGGAGGCTGAGGCAGGAGAATTGCTTAAACCCAGGAGGTAGAGGTTGCAATGAGCTGAGATCGCGCCATTGCACTCTAGTCTGAGTAACAAGAGCGA